GACAGAGAAAAGTATAAGAATAAAGTGACTGGTGGAATCCCCACTGCAGTCTTGTACGTCTTGTGTGTGTGTCTGTGTGTTTCTTTCTGTGTCCATCCCCCGTTCTGCAATCTGGGCTGCGACATTGATCATTCTTTATTTTCTGGTAGCTCCAGCATCTGTAGACTAAAAATAAACAAATCATGAAAACAAGTAGAATTCCAACATTAGTTCCTATACCATTAAGGAAAGCCTGAAAAGAAGTTAAGGGATTAACTTGAGCAAGCCCATTAGCTAGACTTTGGAAGAAATCTTGTTCATTAAACTCTGGCAAATTGTCATGGAAGGTGTTTGTTATTTCTTGTTCTAGACTCTGTAGGTCTGCTGTCAAATTGTGGCCCAAAACTGGCACCGGCGCGAAAATTGAAAATCCTGAGGCTTGGAGCCAACCAATCAGGAGTCAAAACAATCTGCCACTTTCAAAGGAACCAATCGACTAAGGGGGGATGGTGTGCCCAGTGTGTCATGTGGAACCTACGTGTCGTGTGCCACCGGTGTGTCGTGTGCAAAAGAAAGTATAAAAGCTTCACTTTTACCCCAGGGTGGGGTCCTGGTTCATAGGGGAGGCCACTGCGTTGGTCCTCTGGGACTTGGACCCTAGCTCGAGCTAAGCCAATAAACTCCTTTGCCATTTGCAGCCTTGGTGACTCTGCCTCTCTGTTCCTGGAGCCGAGGGGAACCGGTTCTAACACGCCGACATCCTAGGGTAATCAGTTGTGCAAGCTTATCAACGTAAAGTAACAGCCTTTTGTTCTGTTGGTTAGGGAGAAATATCCATTTAAGAATTCCATGAGATTGTTCCAAACAACCTGAAGGAGAATGACACGTGTGAAAGAGAAAGAGTGTAATAGGGAGAGAGGGTTGAAAAAATGTGAGGAAACCAGAGCTCAAACGTTGCTCTACAAACTGCAATTCAGATTCGACCTGGGGCGTAAGGCAGCGAGGGCTATCAAGGGCAGAGTCGCCCTCAAGGATGGCAAACAAGTGTTGTAAGGCATAAGCAGGTATACCAAGTGATGGTCGGAGCCAATTAATATCTCCTAATAATTTCTGAAAATCATTAAGTGTTTTTAGATTATCTCTCCGTATTTGTAACTTTTGAGGATGTATTTGTGACTCAGAGAGACAATATCCCAAGTAATTAAAAGGTGGATTACGTTGCACTTTCTCAGGAGCAATTATCAAATTATATCGTTTGAGATTTTCCTGAAGATCTATGAAGGCTGCATCACGCATCTCTCGAGAAGGTGCTGCAAGAAGAATATCATCCATATAATGATAAAGCACAATTTGTGGATGCTGCATA